AACTTTTTTTTTTGCAAAACTTTTTTTTATTCGCACGCGCGCATCAATTTTGGGGCTCCCGGAGGATGTCATCCATATAATCAAATCAACATGACGTATTACTGGGCCTTGCAACACCGATACTACCTGCAGTGGCAGCCTTATCAGTTGGACAATTTGTACAGTAAAGGTATTATTCCCTAGACGACACGTATTGATAGTACCATTAGATGCCAATTGTACAGTTTAGTATCTACTCGATATCGATCAATGCATGAAAGAATGGAAAGATTTATTGTACTTTTTTGCCCCACTGGGCTAAATACAGGTCACATTTTAACAGATAAACACATAAACGTGTATAATAAACTTCTAGCATACTCATGTACATTCGACTTCCTCTCAGTGAACATATAGGATGCTGTATGGTTAGTTAGAGTTGGTTCGTCGAAGGCTATAAAGAATATGAATGTACTATTAAAGTGGGGGTATTCACTTAAGGTAGGACCAGGGGGTGATCAAGTTTTCAAAAATAATTTATTTTAAAAAATAATAATAATTTGGTAGCTATTTTCGTAATCAATTTTCGTGATCTGGCATGGTCGTTCCTCAATTGTTGCTATTTGGCCGCAAAATTCACCAAAAACTTTAATTGCAAGGTTGAAGTTTCCAACGGGGCGCCGGCGCCTTTTGGAACAGCCGTCCAATCACGGGCCCGCTCTAGTAGCCCCGCGCGATGGCGCGAAAAATCCATTGCACAACCAATCAGGCCGCGCCGATGGATGACGCGTGAATATATTACAGCGCTGCGGTGTTCTATGTCTGTTGTTTCAGTCGTTTGGTGTTTAAGTCAAAACTGCTCCTAAAAATTTGCTTCCTTTTATAATAATAACCTTTATTGTACTATCGGGCTAAGTACAGGTCAACAGATGAAATAGGTAATATACATGTTTGTAGTACAAACAGCTCTAAATCTACTCTAATACAGAGGTTCGGCTTCTTCTCGTTTCTTAGTGATGTTAAAAATATAATTTGAAATGGGTTTGTATAGTATAGGATGATCAAAGCGCATAAGAATGATATTTTTGTCAATATTAGACAAGTATTGGAAGTATGGAAACGTCTAAAAAAGATCATTTCTTTCATTATAATATAAACTACAATTCATCTATAAGTAATGACTATACCATTCTGGCTGACGAACTCCCGCCATTCGACCTCCTGCTCTGATTGGCGGATTTGGATGACGTAATCCGTGATGGTCGATCCCCCATCATCCTCTGGGGCTGACACCTCCACCTCCAGAGAATCCGTGCCGACTGAGGGAAATCTAACAACCACTGGTGCTGAGGGCGGGCCTATGACGGAAAAAAAATCAACTAGAAAGGCCGACGTTTGCTTTGGAGCAGATGTAGCGGATCGCTTCACCACATTTACCACATGGCAGGGAAAGAAGGAGAAACACAAGGTAAAACATTTTTTTTACGTTGATATAACTATAGTATGAAGTGACAACAGTTGGATAGCTATCCCCTGCATTATTGGTTAGGATTTTTGATTACAAAATGCAAACTGTTGATTTTCAAGATAAAAAGAAGCGTTTATGCCCCGCATTCCAATGCTGGAGCAGGAAAGCTTGACATACCTACCAAAACACTTGAATGCCGTTCATACTGTCAATATGGCATGACTTTGTACAATCCAATCAAATCCCAACAGCCAATCAGCAAAAGAAATGGCAGAAGAAGAAGAAGGAGGAGGAGAAGAAACATGAGGAAAAACAATATGTCTTCACCACATAGTGATTGTCACGGAAACACAGGAAATAAATAAATGAATAAATAGAAAGGTAACATTTAGAAAAGACAAACGCATAATGTTTACCTTCGCATATAATATCTGCTCTGTTAATTCTTACTCAAGCGCATCCATAGTATTTGGTGACAGGGGTCTAAATCACTCCTGCTATAAAACTGCAACATGATGTAACCCAACACCAGTTACCATGGTGACAGACGTCTGGTTCAGGTCTTATTTGTTTTGGAGAAGAAGAGGAAGAAGAAACAGAGCTAAAACAATATATTTTCCTTCTGCCAAGGTAAACATAATAAATACTAAAATACAAAAACCAATACCTAAATAAATATAATAGGAACAACTAAAATCACTGTTATACTCTCACACTACCTTTATGTTTCCCTTACTTTGAAAGAAAATACTTGTCACTTCTTTAATATCGGGCTACAAATATCTACCATCAAACAATCGAAACCCTAGAATGTCCATCTCACGAGGTATCAAAACAGGAAATCCCGTTGCAATACCATAACAAGCTGCCAGGGGGCCCAAAATCTAAACATTTTGAGTTCTCATCAAGATCTACCCAACTACCAAGTTTTATGCATATGACAAGCCATTTATAGCTTCTTGAGTTATCGTACTAAACCATGTACATGCACACACACACACGCACACACACGCACTCACACGTACGCACACACACGCACGTACACACACAAACGTGTGCACGCGCACACACAAGCCAAAAACATAACCAGCTGTTGAAGGTAATAAACAACAGATGTACCTGTAACGATGAGTTGAATGAAGGTCTGCCCCTGTATGCTGAAGTCGATGGCCCCCTGCGAGGCACACGTGTAGTTCCCGCCATCCCCCCTCCCCACATCCCGGATGGCAAGGCCGTCTTCCACGATCTGGTACCGCTCCACTGTAGGTTATAAGATTTGAAATCGTCAAGTGATTGGCATCAAGTTGGCTAATACGGTAACACAACATCCCTAAAGGTATCCAATGCAATTTCAGGACAGCAAAACTGGATTTTCATAGTGAATTTTCTGGTCATTCTGGTCAGCCTTTTCAGAAAAGAAAGAAAGAAAGAAAAAAAAGAAAGAAAAAAGAAAGAAAGCCATTCTATCATTTCCTCATAAATTATGCAAATGAGGCCCTTTTTTGAATAAGTTATGTTGAATGATGTTCACCATTTTACTTTCAAATACCCCAAGTATGAAATTCCAGGCAGTAACCATTATGGAATTGTAACATTTTTTTATCAATTATGCAAATTAAGTCTACATTTACATAATCAATATCTGCCTGTGTTTCTCTGGTTCTCAATTTAACACAAGCTTGAATATTCCTACCATGTGATGCAGCTGATTTATAGAATTATTCAAATTACATCTGTATTTGTATAATTGTCGCATGATTATGTCAAGCAAGCCTTCTCGAGTTATCGTGTTTACAGACAGACAGATCAGACAGATGAACGCCCATGACAACATAACCTTCTTGGTGACGGTGACAAAATGAAGACGAATTCGTAATTGTCAATGTCAGGCATATTTTCTCATCCAGAATGTTTTTGGTTATTCGGCCATAAAATTGCATCGGATACCTTTAATATTTCCACATGATGGATACTCAAGTACAGTACACAGTACTAGTATCACTACACATACTTTTGATGTGAGGGCCTGAGGCAGTTACAGAGAGACACCTGGCGGATTTAATCCACATTGCAGGGACAGGTTGTGGTATGAGTCCCACCTTCAGTGTCGATGAGGAGTCCGTGCTTGAAGTAGACGTTGACGGCATAGTCGCCCGGGATGCTGGCCTGACACTGCAGGGTGTAGTCTGTACCGGCAGGCGCCCATTGGACGGGTGGCGCCATGTCAAATGTCAGCTGACCCTCTACACCTATGTACAACAACATTGACAAAAGATATTGTCATGTTTACGGTTCCTGGTTTTTTATTTCATTTTACTGCACACTGTCCACGGCATTGAAAAGTCAGCCCTCTGTATCAGTATAAGCTACTTAGTAAAAGTAAGAGACTAAACAATAAATCAAAGCCTTATGTAGTCTCCTCTTTCCACATTTATCTGCCATCCACGTTCCGGCATGGCAACAGACATTTTTGCCCATTTTCGGCATGATTACTGTCAGAAGGCAACAGCATTTCTTGTTTGTTTTTCTCCAAGATCAGGTGAAAATTAATGCGCGAGCTGACGTCATCCATAAAAATTACTTGCTGTAGCGTAACTTAAAAGCGAAAAGTTTAAGTTGTCTAATGATAGTTTTCTTCTGTATCTGTTCATCGTGTTTTGTTGTTGTGACCTGTACTTAGCCCAGTGCGGCAAAAATGTGCAGTGAAGGTCATGCTCCCGTTTGTTTGTTTGTTCCTGTAAGCTGCCTTTTAGGCGTAACACACCGGTTTTGTACAGTAAGTACAAGCTGCCTAAGACCAGACTGTAAGGTTTGAACCACTCACACCGGGAAGAACCCTACTCCAGTGACTCTTATAAGGCCACACCAAGTAAATTTTATGGGTGACGTCCTTTGGAGACCCTAAATCTAATGCGAGAGGGCGAAAAAAAACAAGAAGGGCCCTAAAAAACAAGATGCCTAGATTAGAAATGAACTAAGAGACGATAAATGTTAGGACACAAATTGAATGAGGTGACACAGTGTAACAAGCAAGAAGTCTTTTCTTCATCATCAAAACAGCAATAAATCAGGTGGAACAGCAATCTGACGATTTGTGGCACTGTCGCGACTCTTTGGTCATTGTTACAGGAAGTGGAATTTCTTGTTGTTTTTTCTAGGAACAGGCCAAAATCAATGCGCGCGCGGACGTCATCCATAAAATTTACTTGGTGTAGCCTAAGTGCGTTGGGTTCTTTTACGTGCGTGGAGTGTGGCTCTTCCAAACACGGGACCTATCAGAGGGACGTCCCTAACCGAAGGTAGGTACTCATTTACACCTGAGTGAAGCGAGGAAAGTCGTGTAAAGCACCTTTCCCAAGGGCACAAGATTGGTAGCATCGGGCAGGATTCGAACCCGAGACCTCTTGGGTCTGACCCGAATACTCTACCGTTACGCCACACGAACCCACATTAACATGTTTACTACAACAGTTGTTGATTACTAGGCCGGATGACGTCATTTTGGTCAGGGCCACTCTGAGAGGTCCTTATGGTGATAATACCGTCTGCACGACCTGTCAGTCTCGACCTGTTGACTGTTGGAGAGTTTCCGTTGTCGCCAAACATGACCAAAACAAACTTTTACCGAAGACGAACTTCCTTTTGTACAAAAACGCACGCCTATGCAGGTTTCCTTAGGCCTCACCAATTTAATTTGTTGTTTCTCGGATTCGCCCTGTCCATTTTTGTCTGAATTGCAAAAAGTAAATATTTTTTTGGTTCTAAATCAACTGCAAAATGCTAAATGAAAGACATATTTTGGCCCGAACAGTTGAAGAAAGTCCTGTTCTTCCCAGTTGTTAAAGTTTTTCAATGTAACAATGCAATTTTATTTCATTAAAAGTTCAAAATCTATTGTTTTAATTATAAACCAGCCTGGTATGTTCACTTCATGGCTCATATTGTAACATTTCGGGTGCCTTGGCCTGTTTTTTTTTCGCCCTGTCGCTTCATATTTTGTCTGAAAAAATCCGACAAGCAACAAATTAAATTGGTGTGGCCTTAAGTTATGCTGGGCCACAATTCCCACCCGGGGCCGGCCGGGCAGGTTTTCTGAACGAAAAATACGATATTTTATAAAAGACAACAAGTTTTTAAATAAAATCCTTGTTACCAAGTTATTTAACTTAAGTGCATTTGGCCCGTGTAGGGCGTGAACATGCAATAAAGTTCATTGTCATTGTCAAAAATAATTACCATGGGCAGTATATTTGTATATTCATGATATGAATAATTGTTAATTTTTCGTTCATACATTAAGCCCGGACGGGCCCTTTTTGGAACATAAGCATTAGAGAATCTTGTTTCTAGAAATTAGTAAAAAAAAAAAACTTTTCGGGAAGATATGTAAAACCGTTTTATCGAGGTTTGACATACATGTACTGGATTAAACCAGATGGTTAGATACTTTTTTTCCTACAAGCTAAACACAAACAGAACGAGTACAAGTTACTTTAAGATGCACTGGCCGAACAGGAGAGTTCGATATAAACTGTGCGCCTAAGACACGTGTTCTTCTTTGAACGGATTTCGCATCTTGCTTCACATTTAGCGTCTCTAAACAAAGTTCACGTCTTGCTTCGTCTTGGAAGGAACTAAACGTACAAAAATAGCTTAATGAAAGTGCTTGCAATCCACGTTGCAGATATATTTCCTATTAGCGCAGAATTTTGAATTCATGAACTAAACTCAAACAAGGCTTAAGTACTCTATCCCCAACATGTTCTACTTCTTCGTTTTCAGGAAAAGAAATGCAAAAAAAAATTACAAGAGTGAATTTTAAGTTTTCTTGATTTCCATACCGTACCACTTACCAACCTGGTGTGTCCGAATTCTACTCTATATCTCGAAACCTCTCTCTTTTTCCATGGATTGTTTTGATAGCGTTCTGACTATAAGATCAACATGCTGATAATGGCAAGAAGTGTGTAACCGATATAACACTTACCTGGGAACAACATCGTGCATGCTGTGATGACAATCACCAGTGGAAAAATCTGTGCCATTGCGTCCGTAGCGAGCGCTTTCGTACTTGTACCTTACTTCCCTCTCTTCCTTCACTCGAATGTCAGCAAAACGTTCCCCCTCCTTATTTTTAAACGCGACAGTTTCGTCCACAGGAAACGTGGAGATCCTTTCATTTGTCAAATTTTGTGTGCTTTTGAACGCAAAGTTACACTTCGACACTACACGAGAAGTGCTTGGTGAGCTTTCGAGGATAATAACACTTGTGGAACAGACCTAACTAGCTTAGGAAGTGAGCTAATTAGTTTCCCCAACGTCACAACAGTAATGTCATGCTTACGGGGCGTGTGAAAGTGGGCGCTAAGGCCACAGCAAGTAATTTGTATGGATGACATCAGCGCGCGCATTAATTTTCGCCAGATTTTGCACACAAAAAACACACACATTTTGTTACCCTCTGATAGTGGCCAACATACCGAAAAGGGGGAAAGATGTCTGTTGCCATGCCGGAACATGGATAGAAGACACATTTGAAGAGAAAAGACAAGACAAATGATTTAATGTTTTGTCTTTTACCTTTATGCAGGAATGGACAGGACATCCTCTGAGTCACCTGACAAGTCTGGCTGAGAACCGCCCTGGGTGGATAACTCTTGTGGACAGTTTAGTTGCCCCGACGGCAGGACAGACTACTGTGGGACCGGTGAGGTGAGGTATTTTATTCCTTTTATATGTGATGGTGGCTGTGTATATGCGATGTTCCCACCAGCTGAATCAAAACCATTTATACTATGAATGAAAACTTTTTTTAGTTGTTTCAGTGAGAAATAAATGTTGTTATAGTTGGCAGTAAACTTAGCACAATATAGGTATCATTTCTTGTTTAACAAGGTTTATTATGTCAAAATATGAAGATGTAAGACTCTTGTTTTTTTGGGGTCCGCCTTGTTTTTTTTCGCCCGCTCGCATTATATTTGGAGTCTGTGGAGGATGTCATCCATAAAATTTACTTGCTGTGGCCTAACAAGGCACTCCAGCGTAAACCATGCGCATAATTCAGGGACAGTCCGATCACTTCACCAGGCTCTTGAATCGCAAATCTGAAGATAAAGAGCGACTTCAAACGTCTGCTTGCTTGAGGATCGACGCGTCGCTATGGCAACGTGCTGATATACGGCAGGTGAAACAATACTTCTCGCGAGATCGTGGAAGACTGTCGGACACGGCCCTGGATTCGGCGACAACTTAACGTAGGTACATCGTTCATACTCAGATAATGAATGAATGAATGAATGAATGAATGAATGAATGAATGAATGAATGAATGAATGAATGAATGAATGAATGAATGAATGAATGAATGAATGAATGAATGAATGAATGAATGAATGAATGAATGAATGAATGAATGAATGAATGACCTTTATTGTACACACATACCCACTGGGTTAAGTACAGGTCATAACAAAAGGATGGAGTACATAACGTTACATATATACGTCGTCAATGAAACTAAAATTAGGTTAATTAAGTAATTTCGGTTTCACGGGGTGCTAGAGGCCCTCATTGACACGTGTACTGATGGTGCCTCTAGTTGCACCCCAAATAACTGGGCGTGAGGGAGTAAACTTGGCAATGAAGGGCGTCGGTCTCGCCTGGAATGAAAAGATAAACCAATAGGTATATATATATATACCAACAAACAGCTAACTATTTTGACCTTTCGATATAGATGCGTATGTTAAGTGGAAGCAACAGTATGTCTATTAAGGCTACTCTTCAAGCAGAGGTTGATGAGACAAGATTGTTACCTTTTTATATATACCCCCTTTTTGTCGCTACCCCCACCAACTCTCCAAGTAGTGGTCGATGGGGCCTGGAAGATCGTTACCATTTCATATTTGCCCCGTTTTGTCGCTACCCCCACCAACTTGTTTAATATAAAGTAGTAAACTACTTGTTAGTAATAATAGTATGCCTGTTTGTTTATCTTTTCATTCCTGGCGAGACCAGTGCCTTTCATTGCCAAGTTTACTCCCTCACGCCCTCGTTATTTGGGGTGTAATCCGTGTAATTATTGCAGGTATTCGAGAAATTTTTTCCTGCAATAAATTTCAATGACTGCTAGAAGTCGCTTTTGATCCATGGCGCTGAAGGTCGTAAATTTACATTGAAATATGTATCCTTAATGCTGATTGGTCAGAATTCTCATGACGTTGAGCGCTTTGCAACGAGGATGAGCCGTTGATGCTGATTGGCTCACGTATTATGTTTGCTCGTTGTTGATTGGTTGGAAGCAATGATTGCGTTAACTTCATGCCCAAATATGGGCAACCGATTCGAAGCACCAGAAGCCGCTCTACTGCAGGGAAGCATGTTGTCTTGCAGCGTGTTGTGCGTGAATTCTCTCCAAAGTTTGGGGTAAATTTTCGACTTGTTGTCAGCAAATTATACGTCAAAAGTGTACAGTACATCGTAGGAACGTTTCCGGGATGGATTTATGCGGTTCTTTGATATTTNGAAATGTCTTGCTTTTGATACAGTCAGCAGTGAATAATGTCACTTATACTGACTCGTCTTGTGAGTATTCAAGGACCCAGTTCCTGAGTCGGTCCTCATGTGAGAGAGACGCATACACAGAGCGATAAACTAGTAATCAGCGCTGATGTTTGGACAGTTGTGAAACATGAAACATAGTAACCTTTTATATTTTTATTATTCTAAGATGTTTTTTTATCCAGTATAGTAATGTACAATATGTAAGGATTGTTTTATATAGTTTTGTTTTAAAAATGTACATACAAGCATGTATATGTTTGTTCAAGAGGCTCTCCTGGATGGAGAATAAAGATGGAAGATGAATGAATGAATGAATGAATGAATGAATGAATGAATGAATGAATGAATGACCTTTATGTACACACATACCCACTGGGTTAAGTACAGGTCATAACAAAAGGATGGAGTACATAACGTTACATATATACGTCGTCAATGAAACTAAAATTAGGTTAATTAAGTAATTTCGGTTTCACGGGGTGCTAGAGGCTCTCATTGACACGTGTACTGATGGTGCCTCTAGTTGCACCCCAAATAACTGGGGCGTGAGGGAGTAAACTTGACAATAAAGGGCGTCGGTCTCTCCGAAAAGATAAACCAATAGGCATACCAACAAACAGCTAACTATTTTGACCTTTCGATATAGATGCGTATGTTAAGTGGAAGCAACAGTATATCTAATAAGGCTACTCTTCAAGCAGAGGTTGATGAGACAAGATTGTTACCTTTTTATATATACCCCCTTTTTGTCGCTACCCCCACCAACTCTCCAAGTAGTGGTCGATGGGGCCTGGAAGATCGTTACCATTTCATATTTGCCCCGTTTTGTCGCTACCCCCACCAACTTGTTTAATATAAAGTAGTAAACTACTTGTTAGTAATAATAGTATGCCTGTTTGTTTATCTTTTCATTCCTGGCGAGACCAGTGCCTTTCATTGCCAAGTTTACTCCCTCACGCCCTCGTTATTTGGGGTGTAATCCGTGTAATTATTGCAGGTACTTGAGAAATTTTTTTCCTGCAATAATTTCAACGACTGCTAGAAGTCCCTTTTGATCCATGGCGCTGAAGGTCGTAAATTTACATTGAAATATGTATCCTTAATGCTGATTGGTCAGAATTCTCATGACATTAAGCGCTGTGCAACGAGGATGAGTCGTTGATGCTGATTGGCTCACGTACAATGTTTGCTCGTTGTTGATTGGTTGGAAGCAATGATTGCGTTAACTTCATGCCCAAATATGGGCAACCGATTCGAAACACCAGAAGCCGGTCTACTGCAGGGAAGCACGTTGTCTAGCGGCGTGTTGTGCGTGAATTCTCTCCAAAGTTTGGGGTAAATTTTAGACTTGTTGTCAGCAAATTATCCGTCAAAAGTGTACAGTATATCGCAGGAACGTTTCCGGGATGGATTTATGCGGTTCTTTGGATATTTGAGCGGGAAAATGTGCAATTACCGGCAGGGTAAAGTTTGGACAAGAAACGAAAAATGGCGGGAAGGACGGCGTGGTGTTGGAAAACCCCACAGCTTTTTCCGAGGTAAGACAACAAACTATCTACCTAAATAAACTTCCAACAAACCAGCTAGTAGCAACAGGCCACGTTATATTTCGTTGTGTTAATCGTTATATTCCGTAGAAATTTGCGTTTGGAACGGTATTTTCACTAATACTACTAATAGGGCTTGTATTTTTGATAGGGAGTTTTTCTTGAAATTCGTGGTTTGGGAGGCACTGAATGTATTTCTTCCGTGTTGAGTGGCATTGAAAAAAGCCAGAGGTGCAAATTTCGCTGCTAAAAACTGAACACTTTTTTAATATCCGCAGTTTGGTTCAGTGAACACATTTTGGAATGTACCGCACGTGTGCATAATTAAATCCACTCAACTTTCCCGTCAATAATGTCGCGTAAACAAGACTTCCCAAGTCTAAAATTAACTGGGTGCATATATTATGCACTTCTGAGCACCCCAAAATTAAATCTACATGCACAAGTGAAAATAGTTTAATTTCGGTTTTGTTACGATAGGTGTATCCTTGCTTTTAAATCAGCGGTTGTCACATTCAATAATTTGGTATTTTACTGGATTTTATACTTAATTTGTCATGAAGTCACTGGTTGTACCGGTTTGATTTTGAGGATGTACTATGCAATTTTGCTCCTGCATACCACGGAAGAATTTAACCTTGTGTACCTGCATACCATCTTTGGGGTAGAAGGCTCATCTTTACTTACATCCGTGACATACATCATACTCATACAGTACAACTGTCTGGTCATCACGGTTATAAAAGGCTCTTCTCAGGCCACACCAATTTAATTTGTTGGTTCTCGGATTTGCCTCTTTATTTTTTTTCTGATTTGCAACAGTCAAACAAAATATTCTGATTCTGATTCAACCCCAAAAATGCTCATATTTTGCCCCCAACAGTTCAGGAAACTCCCTTTCTTCCTACATGTATAAGGCCACACCATCTTAATTTTATGGATGACATCCGTGCGCGCATTGATTTTCGCCTGTCCTCAAAAAAAAAAGATCACGTCCTCCGAAGCTCTGGCCTGGTTCTAGGCCTGGGTATATACATAGTCGACCATGCATGATAGTTACTTAAAGCTACAATAGGGAGCCGGCGGGAACTCTGGAGGATGGCACCCAAAGCTCCAGATCTCAGTACATACATACAGTGCCGATTCAAAGCTATGC